TGTAAGAAAGAAGGAAAAGTATGACTGCTTAAAAAAATAAATTTATTAAAAAAAATTTATGAATACAGTCGAACTCTCCTATAATGAACTTCAAGAGATTGGAAGTTTGACTAGCTATAACCGAGAGTTCGTTACATCTGATTCGATAAGAAAAATGGATTCCCCCCCCCCAAAGTGTAAATATTGAATGATGAATCTCAGAAAAAAGGTGACGAGCACTGTCACATTCTACCAAAAGAAAGTGAATCTAATTTGAAGAAAATCATATTAAAATTTTATTGAAATTATCATCACGCACACTTATTCAATTTTTTGTTCCCATCCCCACGTTTATAATAATTATTTTACCGATAATAATAAAAACATTAAAAATGAATAACAAAAAATATTGAAAATTTAACTTTTATTTAAGTTCAGAGTACAAAAATAATATTCTCCAACAAAACAAAACTACAAGGAACAAAATTTCATTTCCCAAAAGATGAATCAAGTGTATACCTTGAAGATCAAAAGATTCACTACTTCCCCTAAATAGCCAAAATTTCAAAACTTTCATCATAGCATCAAACTTCAATAGAGTTTTGTCAGTGTATTTGAATGGAATCAGAAAATCCGTTCACGTTCTTTGGTTCAATGGTCACTAACACCTCATATGTCTTAAGATACGGTTTTGTGTCCTCTTTCTCCAGGATTCACATTTGTCTTGAGAAGCATTTATTGAGAACAAATAAAAATGGAGGAAAAGAAAAGTAACGTAAAGAAGTTTCCATTCACGGATGGAATGTGGATCCTAACATCTTAAACGTGGATGATTTTTTTATTAGTTACAATTTTGTTTAAATTTGCAGAAATTCTGCAAAATACATGAGAAACACAGAAGTTTCAATCGAAGATGTCCGTATAGTTTGTTATATCCGATTTTCATACCTCTGGAAGTTAACTATAACAGTATAAAATAACATTTAATGTATACGAAATTGGACGGGACCAAAAAGGTTCGTCCGTTAAAATATTACAGCTGTTAGCCGCTAATCAATGAAGTAATAACTGAACATAAGCAAAACGAACTGCACTATTTTGAGAACTCATTTTTGCGTTATAGTAATTTCTTTAAAAATAATTACCATTTTAATAGCAAAGCATTTAAAATTAAACTAAGCGTCGCATCCTTACACGTAAAACTGCTTATTTCACATTTCAAGTGTTTTTACAAACACTGCTAGTATACGTAAATATATGAACAGCCTTTAGCCTATCGGTTCACAATGAAGAGAAAACACTGGTTAATACCAGTTTCCTAACAATAATTCTTTACCCCCCGCTGCTTTTGCACACATTATCTGATGGTGATTTTATGATGAGCTTATATCGCAAAGCGGCCAAACGAACTCGTAAATATTTCTGAAAAAATTATAAATGAATCCATTTACCCGAAAATACACATTGCTAAATAAAATCAGCTATTTCAAGTGTCGTATATAGTTTTTCTGTCTATAGGGGAAGCTATTAGCAGGCCAAGCGGCACTACTTAGCGAGCTTCCAAAATTTTAAAATTCTTGTTTTCCGAACAGATGATCTATTACTGCAGCGAAAATATAAAGCAGTAAACAGACGTAACTATTCAATTATGAGTTTTAATATAAATAAAAAAATGATGCATACCATTTTATCTCAATTAAAATATTAATATTTATAGTACTTACTGCATACATTTATTATTTTAATATAAATTCAAAAACTGAATTTCGACATAAATAAAAAATATATACCATTTTATCTCAAATATAATATTAATATAGTATTTATTTTGGCACACATTTATTATTTTTAAAATAATTATATACTATCGTTTTAATACATAAAATATTGGTTTTAACGAAAGTTTCTCGCCACCCCAAATATCGTCTGCGCAAACAGTTCGCGTAGGCGTGTTTAATCATATTTTGTCAAACAATTTTGTGGAACGTGTGGAAGAAGGTCAGTATATGCAACCACTCGGGAGAGCTTTGAGAGTTAGATGTTAGTGCCAAGTTCATTAGTCGCGCTATGCATCGCATAAAATTGACGTACAAGTTCAACTGCTGGTTGTTGGGTGCCGCATGAGTCGAATCAAGCAGATACGGACAGACGTGTTCGGGCCTGCACTAATCTGCGCGAATATAAACGCAAAGACAAAATTCTGGACCGGCTCGTCACTTGCGATGAAAAGTGGATTTACTTCAACAACACAGGCCTAAAAGGGGGTTGGTCTGCACTCGAAGAGCCCATCGGCAGTGTCGCAAAGCACAAAATGTAATATTCCATGATGCAAGACCACACGTGTTTGCATTCGCCGGCTAGACTGTACGGACTCGAATGGGATCTTTTGACACATCCAACATATATCCTCGATACCGCTCTTTCGGACTTCTACCTTTTTTCACACGTGTAGTTACATCTTTCCTGGTGCTGACTTCCATTCTGCACAGACATTCGAAATGACACTAATCTGTTTTTGGACTCATGGCTACCAAGGTTCTGGGCCAAAGGCTTTGAAAAACTACCAAAACGTTGGCAGAAAAATCACAGATTTGAGTAGTGATAACTACCCACGCTAAAGGTACCGCTTTCATGTGTGTGTGTGTGTGTGTGTTTTTCCCCTGAACTTTCTTAAACGTTTTTTGGCGGAAAACTTTCCTTACAGCCATATATAAATACGCTATTATGTAATAAGTGCAATTTAAATAATTATTTTTAATCAATGCTTCCTCGCTTTTACACGGTTTCACGCGAGAACATACTGTGCGGATTTTTGTTTGTAACACGAAACTCGCAAAAAGAAAAATTCAATATTTGAAAAATTTAGAATTCACAGAATTCCGAAAAGCATCTTCTAGGAAGATATCTCATACTGGCGTAAATCATCATTCCCGGAGCGGATTTCGAGTGATATGTATTGTTACAGAAAGGCGGAGCACGACGATGTGCATTTTATCTCAGACACTGCGGAAGGAGGTGCTCACGAATCGTTCTAAACAAAATACAAATCGGAAAACCCGGCTTTAGCGTAGCAATGCATATTGCTTCAAATTGGAACGGGGGAAGTCATCATTTCAACAGAATCTTTTTCCTACCGCTCAACAACACCCTACACCACATAAACATGCGATTTCGGCACACACATCGCATTGCGAAATGTACTCCTTTCATATTTTCGAATTTGAATCACTCAGTATCTTCCTGCGATAAAGCCATTTTTTCACAAAATGTAAATATTACGCTTGCATAAATTTTAAAAATGCATTATTGCCTCAATATTATTCGTACGATAATACGAAACAAACAAAAACGACCGATAATAATTTTCAATACTCATGGATGACTTGAGGGGTGTCAGAAACCCCTATACTGAAAATGTTAAATTGGCCATTTTCGATGTACCTTTTCTTAAAGTCTGCTGTAGATACACCCTTGAAATTTTTCGTGTAATTAAAGTATACCCATCTGATTATACTAAAATGAGCTTTTGAAACATTTTGAATTTTAGAGTAATTTACAGAATACTTTGTTAGGCATAGTAAAATTTAGCATTTTTCTCACACACACACAAAAAAAAATGTTCTTAATTTTTCTTTCTTAGTTTAGCACAAAAAGCTCATTTCAGTAAATAGCATTACGAAACCTAATAAATAAGCCATAAAAATTTTAGATACCTGTGAGCAGTAGTTTCTGAGGAAAGGTACATCGAGTACAAAAAAAAAAAAAAAAAAAAAAAAAATCATGTTTGGAGAAAAACGCATCTTTATGTAAAAATCCTCATTCATCAAAGCATTTGATGACAAATTAAAACTAGATTTTTTACAATTCTAATTTTCATAGAGATTAAATAATGGTATTTTTAGAAAGAAAAAAGCGTAAAGAAATTGAAAATGCAAAAATCCGAAATCAACACTTTTGAAATATTTTTGGGTTCCAGCAACCCTTAAGAAATGCGTTCGCTAAGCGGTATTTCAAAGGGTATTGCATTCACGGTAATTGCCAAATATCTCATGTGACAGATTAGAAATGAGTAGTTTTTACAACTTCAAATCGAGTGAAAGTCGCACCTTCATGCTGCTTTAATGCGTTCACGCACAAAAGATTGCTTTAACAGAAGAGCGAAGCGCGACATATAAGCAATGATGAAGTAATTCAGCTATGACTGTTTATCGTAATATAACGCTCTTCTCAGATTCTATTCAAGTGTTCTTTGCAATAAACCTATCAGACGCATATTGGGGGGGAGGACAATGCGCGTCTGCTTTCCTTGCAACTAAGCAAGTCGATCGCGGAGGGGGGAGTACATGAAAAATGAGTTCCTTTTAAATACGTACACGAGACTCATTTTATGCGTTTCGCTGAATGGTATTTCTACAGAATGGAAGAATATGTTACCAACGTCTCAGAAACGAAATTATTTCAGTTTTCTTCCACTAACGAAGATCTCAAGAAGTAAAACTCAAGTATTTTGTAAAAATCTAAAAGAAAGTCCACATTAAAAAGTACCGCTGCAGTTAATTGGTAATTGCTTATGGAAATGCTCCCAACATTCGCCAGCGCTGAAGTACCCCGCAAGTACGTAAAGCGCTGAAGTACCCTGCATCCTGCAAGGTCGCTGCAATATTCCCATATTTTTATTGCAATAATACTTACCACACATGGTTTTAAAATTCGGATAATCGAAGTGTTGACGTTATACTAGGAAGAAGTAAACTACATGCCAAAAAAATTGCTATACCGTGAAAGAAAATAGCGAAATTATATTTACTTTACAAATAGTATATTATAATGAAAGGATTGAGATTTTAAGTAATTTTGAGGTACAGATTACAAAAATATGTAGAACTAAATATCCGTCTATATCCGTCTCTGGCAACATTTGTAACTGCTTTATGGCTTAAGGGTACTGCAACCCACGCGGCTTCAATTCTATGCCAAACTATGGAAATAGTAAAAGGTTAAGAAAAAGCACAAGAACCTACCTTCTGGACGATACTGCACCAGCATTGTGACAGTGTGGCCGGCACCTTTTAGGGCGGCTGCTGCTTGTTCGTGGGTGGCGTGCCTAAGATCGATGCCATTCACCTGTAAGTAAAACAATGAAAAATCAGTGAATGAAACACAAAAATGCATTAAATATTAGATGCAGATCAAGAGAAACAAAATTTTGAATTTCTACACATGCCAAATTTATTTTACGTAGAAATTTGTTTCAGACACGCACATTGAGCAAGGAAATTAAAAGCAGTGAAATCATCCGTTTTAAAGAAAGAATTTACTAACAAAACAAGCAAGGCATTTAAAATTTCAGTATCAAAACCTTAATTGCAGTGTTATTTTTAAATATAATTATCACTATTTACATAAGATCTACTTTGAAAATTGGCCATAATATCTTATTATTTCACTTATGAATAATTTTATACAATTACTTATTAAAAACAAGAAATCATACACAGAATATACGAGTATATATATATATATATATATGTTCAAAATTATTACATATGTACATACGCAATAATTTCATTTGTACGTCAATAGACCTTTGAAACCAACCACTTTTTAATCATGCTCGAAAAACTGGTGCGTAGATAATGGCTGGAGGGTAAATCACAACTGGCTTCGATGGTTAAAACCTCATTTTTATTTTGAACAGGAACAGTTCTTCAGAAATACGTTTTTGCTTAACCGGTACAACACTACGGATGCTAACCGCTTCACACAATTTCTATATATGCAGTTTGCATTAAGTTTAATTTTTTAGTAAATCTGAATCATTTTTATAACTCACATATATATAACAAAATAAGGATGATTTGCACTTTCGAATTAGGAATATTTTTTTGTATCAACCAAAATGCAATGTGTTGTACAAGCAACGCCATTACGCATGAAGATTTCCAATACTTGCAAATGAGTGACTCATCGGACATGAAAGTCTTATGTGAATCAAGTTGACACCAAATAATGATCAGAACCTTTATTACCATATAATACATCCAATTTTAAATAATTAGAACCAACATAATGGGAATAATTAATGAACCTACAAATGTCTAACAGTTGACAGTTTATTCCAACATTAATTCTTCAAAATTTCATTGTGCTTGCGATATTAATATTTTGCACGCTTTATTGAGATTTAAAATGATGCAAGAGAAAAATAATCTGTGCAATTAAATTTTAACAAAGGAAGCCACATTTTCTTCACTTCCTGTTTCTTTTGTCGAAATTACATCATGAGTGATAGTAAAATTCCATAACAAGGCATGTTACATTTAAATGGTTGTATTGTTTTGAACAATATTCCACAGCCAAAATGAACACAAAATTGTTTAACAACTGAGACAAAATTTATGTGAAATCTTTTAAGAATTTATTCCGATTTCATATTTGTTTCATTAGAATTTTGATCCGATATGGAGGGGAGGGGAAAAATACAACGGCATCGTCATTTTGAAACAGTTATTTTGCAATCGTAGATTTTCGATTTCAAATTCGCTTTCCTATAATTATTTAGAAAAATATTGCTCTTTAGGCATTCATCTTCACTGTCTTTAAACAATCCATAAATTTCATCACGAATTAAATGACTGGATGAAGGTATTTCGTAGTCTACTACTAACAGTAGAATTCATCTTTTTCTTTTATTCCCTGTAACGGTTTATCGACGGAAATAGTATATCAGCCTGAAACAATTTCTTACACTTGACATTTACACAGAAACGGTCACAAATCGATAACATTTCACTGACTGACGTATTTTTCAATGCATTCAGACACGGAAGTATAGCTAGCTAACGAAACTTCCTAAATAAAATAATTTTTTTCGACAACGTAATCATTCAAACGCTCTGAGAAGACACTTCTAGAAAAGGAACAAACAGCTCACATCCATGGAGGTGGTGTATTTAATTATGGCAAAGAACACTAGGGCTATCTGCCTAAGGGGAGGGATGCCTTCGTGTAGGACTTTCTAAGGGAAAATGGCTCGTATACACGTTACACATGGGGAAAACCACGAAAACACCCATGTAGCCAGCCCGTTCGCGAGATTCGAACCTCGGACCGAACTACCAGTGTTCAGAGACTTTACGCTCGGCCGCTGGTGGGCCCACATCCATGGAGGATATACCAGTAGACATCATCAGGTAGTATGCGGTGTCCATAAAAGAAACACGTGATTTCATGTGGTGTTTGCAAGAAGACAGCTAACAGTTTGCTCTTTAAAATAAATAAAAATTGCAACAGTGAATTTTACCCAGTTTAGTGAAAGATGGCGCTAAATGTCTGTTTTGTAGCTTGCAGTCAAGGAACGGCCCGACATATTGGCATGGCACATTTCTTTGACATCTTATTAAGATATTGTTTATAAAATAAAAAATGAAATCTCTCATTGAAACAAAGAACATTACTATACAGTTTCGTTCTGTGCAATTATGAAATAGCAAGTGTTCTCAACGCTTGTTATTTCATAATGTGCAAGAACGGAGGGTGATTGACACTTCAAACAGTTTCCGAGTTAACAAAAAGGGCGGTCTTGAAGACAATTATGCAAAGAAAAAGACTTAAACGTCTAAAAAAAGTGTTCGCTAGCAAAAAGATCAAATGAATAGAGCTTGCCAATGATGTTATACTTTTTCACAATTGTGGGTTTATTAAAGCATAAAATAATGAATTTCTGAATGATATATATATATATATATATATATGTTCTAAAATTAAATTTGAGGAAAATAATGTGTCTACATTTCATAAATTCGGAATTTTAGCTATATCCGGACCATAATCTTACCTGATTTTGCTATAAATGTTTAGAAATCACGAAAATTAGGAAACAAGGCATGACCTCAAATTGGGTCAATCGCTTCTGACATTTAGAAGAAATAGTTATTCCATCATGATAAAAAAGGGGGGCGTGTAGGGTTTCGTGATCTTCCTAATTACCGTATCACGCATATTTTGAATGCTATATATTACAGGATTAATGTAATGTTATGACATGATTTTATGCAAATAAATATAATAAACTATAAATTGTTTTGTAGTTTATTGTACTTATTACGCAGAGATACAGATATACATATATGTTTATATGCATACACATATATACGCATACATAAGCATTAAGTACGTATACACTCGTGCGCAAAATTACGAGGATTTACAAATTATGTCTATTTTTTTAAAAAAATATTGAAATAGAGGGACTAATTATGCCGCCGAAGAATTAAGCAGATAATTCAGGGTCAAATATGTAACATACACGTGCGTACCCGCGGAGCTCTGATTGGAGGGAATATAAGCGCACGAGGGGTTTTCGACGATTTGTGTAATGGTACTCCATCAAGTCAATCACCGTGTTTCTCGCAAGTGTTGAGTAAATTTTCTAAGGTACCAGATAAAATAAGTATCCATGAACGCATGGATGGAATGAGATGAAGAATTTTAGAGATTTCACGAGATAGAGCTACATGCCACAAGTCCCGCTGTTTGCGCCCCACTCACTGCACCACACAAGAGTGTGTAGTAGTGTATTTTGCAACAATTGACAAAATAACAGATGATCTTCTTAGTAAAACATATTTTATTTTTAGTTTATGGAGATAATTTGAATGCAGTCCTTTAGTTACAAATTTTTAATACATCTACTAGCTGGTAAAACTTCAAAATTTTACACAATTTCTTAAGTTTCTGAGCAACGGTTACATCATACAAATATGGCGTTGCCACTTCAATAATAAATATAGTTACTTGTTAAATAACAAAATATTACACCCTCTCCCCCCCTCCAGATTTATATTTATATATTTTTATAAATTAAAGTTTACAATTTTGTTTTTCGAAACAACAGAATATCAACACAATACATAATTGAAATATTACATATAATATAATAATATACAGTAAGGAAGAGAGGAAAAAACAATTTTTTTTAAATCTATATAGGGAAATAAATTATTTAATCAGGCCAGGGAGGACGACTTAATGCGTCTACATTTTTATGGTTTTTACCACTTCGATGAACGACCGTGTAATTGTAGGGTTGTAGTACTAGTGCCCATCTCGTAAGTCGTGGATTTAGACTCGCATTATTTTTGAGCCAAATTAGGGGATTACGATCGGTTATGATGAGGAATTTAGTATGCCCGTCTAAATAACATTGAAGTTTCTTTACTGCAAATATTATGGCGGCGCATTCCTTTTCTCTGGTACTTTTTTTCAGTTTTCTGTAAACTTCTTACTGAGGTATAATATTGGATGTTCATTGTGTCGTTCATCTTTTTGAGCTAAAATGACACCCATACCTGAGTCTGAAAAATCAATTTGCAAAATAAACTCCTTACTGATATCAGGAGAATGTAATAGAGGCTTTTGCGGCAGTTACTTCTTCAACAACTCGCTCTTGTCTGTTTAGTTCCTTTAAAAGCTTCTCCTTGACTTCATCTCAACTGCAGAACTTAACAGTTCATCTAGAATTTTTAATTGAGAATCGGCTAAATTTGTAAATTCTTTCTTTTCAGATAGTTTTCGCTCATTGCGAGATGAACTTTTGTTCCTATCTGTTACTTGCATTCTCATTTAATATGGCAACTTTAAATACCCTTTATCAGGTTTATGCCTCTTTGCTAAGTTTTCTAACGCGTGCTTAGATTCTGAACACATTTTTAATTTCTTAGCTCTAGAAGCACCTTTATGAGTTCTTTTATCAGAAGTTCTTTGATCTGCTGTTAAGAAACTATCAGACACATCTTTGCTTTTTGGTGAAGAACGAACTGGGGAACTTGTAGGGGAATAATTATATACATTATCCATAGAAGGTGAATAAGATGAGTCAACTTTTATATCAATAAATTCAGTTTTCATACCAGGAGGTGAACGCTTAGACTGTCAGATTTCTATGACGCATTGGCAGAAACTTGACTATTTAGGAGGGTGAATATTGACCAATTTACCCTGAGTTTTAGCACTATTATTTGTTTGGTTTTGTATCAAAGATGTATAGTTCTGCATTTGATTTCTATATTTTTCAGGAATAACAATTAATTCCCTTTCATTTCCCTTTTTATCAATTTTCCTTT